CCACCACGGAGTGTCATAAAAGACGGTGCTATATACAAGTGGACCTCCGACTTGTAGCACCAAGGATACTGGGATGATATACTCAAGCAGAAAGATTAAACAAGTAATCAATCTACCAGATTGGCCCATGAGCCATCGCCTTCTGGGCATAAGACTCTAGGCAATTTAATAGTACATATTTCAAAATCAAGTGATGATTTATAAACAAAAATGCGTCAAGACCTAAAGTCAAAAATGTAATACATAATATAAATTTTGTGCAGATACAATTTAATGCACAGGGCTCGACATGACCAGCCGATTGGTAGAACCGGGCCAGTTCTACCACCCGTCTAGGTGAAGTAAGGGTCGAAGTGGTGTGTTGGGCAAAGGAACACTGTTCCTGGAACCAGTGCCCTCAACCACCAGACTCCCGTCCTCCACCGATACAGGGGCGCAACCCACGGCAAACGGGTTGGTGGACCAATTATCCCCCCGGGTCCACAACGGGGGGGTTGAAGGGCGCTTAGCGTGACCCAGCACCCACCACGAGGAGGTGGCCCTTCATGGGTGCCCCGAGATTGGAACCCATACTCGTAGGAAAAGACATTAATCGCCAACACACAAAGTCTCCGATCTAACCAACTCAACCACTTAACTTACGACTATCTTAGCGCTAAGAGAGCTACGAAAATCTAGGCCTAGCTAGCGCTAAGATAGTCGAAAGTTAATGTTAATGTATGGCACTTATGACTATCTTAGCGCTAATAGAGCTTCGGAAATCAATGCACTATTGTTCACAAATATGGAAGACTGAGTGGGTCAGCATCGTTCTACACTATGGGAATAAGACGTCAGCAGTAATGCCCTCCCTTGATCCGCCTGGTCCCCTTGAAGGAGTGAGTGAGTGAGTTTAGTTTTACGCCGCACTCAGCAATATCCCAGCTATATGGCAGCGGTCTGTAAATAATCGAGTGTGGACCAGACAATCCAGTGATCAACAGCATGAACATCGATCTGCGCAATTGGGAACCGATGACATGTGTCAACCAAGTCAGCGAAACTGACCACCCGATCCCGTTAGTCGCCTTTTACGACAAGCATAGTCGCCTTTTATGGCAAGCACATGGGTTGCTGAAGACCTATTCTACCCCGGATCCCCCTTGAAGGAAGAGTATGAAGTTTTGAACATGAATTCTAACCCGGATCTTCCAGGATGAAATCGAATCTGCGATAGGCAGTGTTACAATACCGGCTGGCAACTACATGTTAACAGCCTAGTCAGGCACATGCAAAGCTGACACCAACCTTAATAATCAGTACTTCAACACGAAGTAAAGCTTTCAGCAGTACAATATGTGGATGTGACAGCGGCCTACTTCTCTGTTGCAGTCGTTGCTGTTGAAGGTGTGATAGTATATGTCAGAACACAGCCTACCGCCACGTGACCTGTTATCACGCTGACAGCTGCATGTCACGTGACGTGAAATATTCGCTTGGGTTTTTAACATTTGAGCTATGACGTGATTACTCGTGAATACACACGTCAATGCTGAGTAGGAAGTGTCCATCACATGCAGTGACTCTTACAAGGGCGATTGTGTGGTGCTAGCCATCTTGAGGAGAAGCTGATAATGATTTAGACGGGATTCATCATCATAACTACGTTGATAATTAATATGGTGATGATGATTGATATAATTTCGATTTTCCTGCAGTAAACGATAATGGTAACTGCACGTGAGTTGGGTTGGTACGTTTTCCCTCAACACTATGACTTTGAAACTTTGTACTCATTTGGGAATCGATAGGTGTCAAAGACATAGCGACCTAACACTGTCACCACTGGCTTATTCAACCTCAACTATGAAACTAAAACATTCACAAAAACTCTAACAACGTCGAAAGTTGATTTAAATGGAAACAAAGACGGTTGTTTCGAGACTGTGGGGTAGCCTTGTCGTTAAAGCGTTCGATTGTCACGCCGAAAACCCGGGTTCGATTCCCCATATGGCTGCAATGTGTGAAGCCCGTTTCTGATGGCCCCCGCCGTGAGCCGCGAATAGCTGCAAAAATTACTGAAGCAGCTTAAAGCAACATTTAATCACTCACTCGCTCCGCCGATATATTGATGGATAATTGCTGAAAACGGCGTAAAACTAAACTCACTCACTAACGATGTTTGGAGTTGAGCAACTGCCCTGTGAATCACGTCTGTTAAGTATTCCCCACACAATGTGTCGCAACGTCCAATTTGTTATCACATGTCTACCAGCGTTACGGGTCAAAGTCACATAATCACGTAGTGTAACGGAAGGCTCGATAGGAATATTTTAAATCCGCATTACATAGGCCAGTGATATATAATTTCGCATTACACATAAGATTTGGCAAGACTGTTTGTGGCAAACGCCAGATGTATCTCTGACTGTGACAATTAATTTGAAACTGATCTGGCTACATATACATATGCACACAGCAGAGAAACCTCACAGTCTATGTAAAGATGTCACATGTCTGTCAGGGCAGTGTGACGTGTACACCACTAATTATCACAAGCGGGACTATCACCACCAGCGTTACACCACCTATATATAGAGAGACACAACAGTGTCGTATCATTATACATCCTCACACAGGGAAGTATATCACCGAGTTTCATATAACACCTATATACAGAGAGGTTTGGAAACATACTCGTTCAACACAAGCGTGTGCACCCAGGTTTTCGTGAACATTGTTTGAGATCGTATTGACAATAATCTGAAATTTGAGGTGAGAGACATGAATTTCTGAGTGTTAATAATGATTATGTATTGTCAAGAGGAGTGAGTTAAATCTGAAATTTAAGGTGAGAGATATGAAATGCTACGGGTTGATAAATATTACATATTGTCTAAACAGATATACCCCAGTACCACTGAAACCACAAAGGGAGTGAGTTTAATTTTAATATTGAACCGTAATGCATCATGTTGGAAAAAAGCATTATCTATGCTGGTCGAAGATGAAGAACAACGTAAGTGGTAAGACGTGGCACTGTATTGGAACATAACTCTGTCTGTGGTGAGACATGCTCTGTGAGTGGTTTAACATGAATCTATTTGTTGTTAGACATGCTCTGTTAGTGGTTAGACATGGATCTGTTTGATGTTAGACATGCTCTGTGAGTGGTTAGACATGTTCTGTTAGTGGTTAGACATGGATCTGTTTGTTGTTAGACATGGATCTGTTTGTTGTTAGACATGGATCTGTTTGTTGTTAGACATGGATCTGTTTGATGTTAGACATGATCTGTGAGTGGTTAGACATGTTCTGTTAGTGGTTAGACGTGGATCTGTTTGTTGTTAGACATGGATCTGTTTGTTGTTAGACATGGATCTGTTTGTTGTTAGACATGGATCTGTTTGTTGTTAGACATGGATCTGTTTGTTGTTAGACATGGATCTGTTTGTTGTTAGACATGGATCTGTTTGATGTTAGACATGGATCTGTTTGATGTTAGACATGCTCTGTGAGTGGTTAGACATGCTCTGTGAGTGGTTAGACATGTTCTGTTAGTGGTTAGACATGGATCTGTTTGTTGTTAGACATGGATCTGTTTGTTGTTAGACATGGATCTGTTTGTTGTTAGACATGGATCTGTTTGTTGTTAGACATGCTCTGTGAGTGGTTAGACATGTTCTGTTAGTGGTTAGACATGGATCTGTTTGTCGATAGACATGGATCTGTTTGTTGTTAGACATGGATCTGTTTGTTGTTAGACATGGATCTGTTTGATGTTAGACATGATCTGTGAGTGGTTAGACATGTTCTGTTAGTGGTTAGACATGGATTTGTTTGTTGTTAGACATGGATCTGTTTGTTGTTAGACATGGATCTGTTTGTTGTTAGACATGGATCTGTTTGTTGTTAGACATGATCTGTGAGTGGTTAGACATGCTCTGTTAGTGGTTAGACATGATCTGTTTGTTGTTAGACATGGATCTGTTTGTTGTTAGACATGGATCTGTTTGTTGTTAGACATGGATCTGTTTGTTGTTAGACATGCTCTGTGAGTGGTTAGACATGGATCTGTTTGTTGTTAGACATGATCTGTGAGTGGTAAGACATGAATCTGTTTGTTGTTAGACATGATCTGTGAGTGGTTAGACATGATCTGTGAGTGGTTAGACATGGTACGTGAAACAGACCGGATAAGATAAAACTGTTTCATAGGTTATCAGTTGTATCTACTACCTGTTGTATATGACTAAGATAAATGTAGACATATGACAGATGGTACAAAAAAACTGACGAAAACGTTCGTGTTCCAAAAAGTTGTGTTAAGGTGAGTGAGTGAGAAATGGGCTTCGCACATTGTACTCATGTTGGGGATCCAAACCGGATCGAGCGAACACTTAATCCAGTGGGCTACCCTAGCGTGGTGTTCAATTGATGAAGGAGTAGGAATAAACGTTGTGTTTCTTCAAAATCAAGAAGTGGGTATCCATAAATTCTCACCTAATTCGTGTATCACACCAAAATGCTGTTCAAAGACTGAGATAAATGTTATCGACACATCGGTAATATTCCAAACATTAACTGACAGACTGTATAATCTGTGTGATATCGTCCTGAAATTACAAATAAAATCACAACGCGACTAAAAGACACACGTTTATTTGAAACATTTGTTTCTAAGCATATATGTGCTGCTAAATGGGAAGCTGGTGACTGTATAGAAGAATGAGATGTAGAGTATTTTATAAGGATGGATGTAACATGTCTCGGGTCTTCGGTATATTGTGCATCATATTGATTGAAGCAAATCCACATCAATTATCACCCAAGAAGTACGTTATTAGAAATTGCTGATTATGTGTCCCAGTTCACTGCATGTTACAACAACGTTTTCCCTTTCTAATTTTAGGATGACTCACGGTGCCGGAGGTTTCTCCAGTGGCGGCGGCGGGGGAGGCGGGTACAGTGGCGGGGGAGGCGGGTTTAGTGGCGGTGGATTTAGCAGTGGGGGGTTCCACATGCACCACTACGACCATTCCACACACAGCACCTCAGGAGGCGGAGATGAAGAGTGCGGGAAATGCTGCTGCTACTTCTTCGTCCTCGGCATCAACATCGCCAGCATCCTCCTCTGCATCAGGAAGATGTCCCGCTACCTCCGCATCGCCCTCCTCTGGATCTATGTTGCCACTGCCGTCCTCACGGCCGGACTTCTCATCAGTATCAACGTCCTCGGCACCAATAAGTTCCAGGCTGCGCCAACAGACATGCGCAAAGTAGAGGACCACGTGAACAACGCCTTCTGTCAGAGTCTCACTCTCAACTCCAGTGATCCTTTCGAAGCCTACACCTTTGACAAGGAACCCGTGGTAGATCTTAACAGGACTGAGGAGTTTACTACAAGCTATACGATGACAATATTTAGCCAGAATTACGAATACTGGGGGTTCTATCTCCTCCCTGGGTCAACACTACGGCTCAACACCTCATATTCAAAATTCACGACCCTATTTGTCATCCAAGGTGAAAGCAACCTTCAAACATGGCTAGACGGTAAAGGAGACTGTAGTGGGTGTTACATCTACAAACACGACTTGCTGTCTCTTGACACCTATGCAATGAACTCCACAGAAGCAGACAACTATTTCTTTGTGTTCTTCAACGATGGACCGTATGGTGCATCATCGACAGCAAACTTCTTCCTCAGACGGACTTTGTATGATGTGACGAAAGCGACATCAAACTGTACGTTTGTCCCAGGTAAACCATCTTGCCGCTTTGATGTCTCTTTTAACCCTGAACAGAGCGTGGTGTTTCACAGCAGCCGGAGAGCCCGTCACCAGAGCATTGACATGTGGAGCAGTTGTAAGGCAAGAGCATGGATGTACGTGATCGTGTTCGCCCTCCTCCCCATACTGGTGGCTTCAGCTCTCTCCTTCCTCTTCTGGAAGTTCTGTAAGGAGGACAGAACAGGGGAGAAACAGGCTTTGGTCTCTGATCAAGGACTGGAGGACGTGTTGTCTGACCAAAAACTGGAGGACGTGGTGTCTGACCAAAAACTGAAGACTGAAGAGTTAACGAAAACATTTTGTGTCTCTAATAACACTTGGGAAATGGTTCCATCAGGGAAAGCATTAATTTCAAGCGATAAAACAAATTTTTAAAGCGTTCTTACCATGAATGTAAATTCTCGGAGTTTCATAATTTCACTGAATTTAGGCTGGCGCTATTTGAACTGGTGCCCATCATCATAGTACCTTCATATGACTTTGATTTAGTCCGAAATTTATCATGATTATGTATATGTTTTGTTGCATCCCTTTGACCTGGACTGTAGTCTGTATGTTCTGAACCAGCCATGTACCGTTATTACCTCTGATGATCAACAGTTTCAAACGGGATTCTACCTCGCTAAAAAACTATATTTTTTAGCATTAAATATTTTTTTAAATAACATTTTCATCCGGGTGTTTTGGATACAATTTGTATTTTTACTTTGGTTTGACTTTGAAGGTAACATTTCATAGTGCCATCATGTGTGATTATTTCAATAATATGCTGAATACAAATGCCATATTTAGAAACTGATAGAATGTACCATTCAAATGTTAATTCTGGTAAAAATACGCCATTAGTAAATAACAGTGTGCTGGCGATTAGTTGCCATCGTGCTCACTTTGAGAGTGTGATTTTGAATAGGACACAATCAAAGTACTAGAATTTTCACTTTACTGGTGGTTCAGTGGGTTATCCCAAATAGAACAATAGAAACGAACTGGAGATCACCAGTGACTGAAGGAAGATCACCACACCATGGAGACATACTTTACCTTTGCTACCTGCATGGACGCTAGCTGGTTTTACACCATCCCTTCAGCCGCAGGCGATTTTAATAGAATTTAGCCACCGATTAAAATCACAAATATACTACGTTTAAACAATGTGGTAAGCGTAAATATTACATGAATGTTTTGGAACTTACGTACCCCAACAGGTGGTTTGCTTCACTTCAACCCCTGCAAGGATACAGCCACTAACAATCTCAGTTGTTCATTTAAAAGATCCTGAACTGTTTTACATTAAAATACGGGTGAGTTAGATCACAATCAACACTGCTTGTTATGTCTCAGTGAACGATATGTGTCTTCTGGTTAAACGATTTGAACCATGAATAAGGTAGCTTTAAATGTTTCCAATGAAGTTAGAACTGTCGTTGAGCAGCCCATGCTTGACATAAGCGGCGAATAACGGGATCGTGTCGTCAGGATCACAGATTTGGTTGATGTCATCAAATCACAAATCCAGGTGGGGTCCATGTAGGTAGCAAAGGTACTGTAAATCCCCATGGTCCCTACTATGGTGATCAACATTCGGTTGTTGGTGATCCATAGCCCGTTTTATATATAAAATATTGTATTGTCTCTAGTGATCTATTTTTATGATACCGTACTATTTTTAAATTAAGAGCTGTGATAGTCTAGTATTTTACTGTCCTTCGATGACAGGTTTTTAAGTTCTAAATTTATTTTAATATTGATATAAATTAAATTGTTCTCGACACGATATGGCTGCAGTTTTCCCGATGTGACGCTAAATATTCACTCACTCACTCACTCATCAAATCACATCATACGTATATTGATACCATAGATGTTAATCTCTTGATTGTATGTTTAAGATTCCATCAATTACATACCGCCATAATATATCGTTGAACATAAATTGTTGTTATATGCAGTTACCCATAGATTTTTCTCATTAACGTTTTGAGACACACCTCAAATGAACCAACCGACTAACGTAACTTGTTCTCCACCACAGTGTATTTTGTCAATTTTGGGCAATATATTCCTGAAACTCGGATTATGATTGTCGACATAATATATACTTAATTCATTCAAAAACCCTTCATCCTGCCATGTTCTGTGATTCTGCCATCCAATAGTTCCGCAAATTAATTTGTAATGTCAGTATATATATTGTGCCTTGTGTGAGTGTCTAATAAATAAATATATAACGAAGTACATGCTATTTCTCATTATAAATATTTCGTCTCATCATATCGCTTGTTCACGAAGAGAAGTGTGACTGTCTTCAAAGTTTTAACAGGTTGACCACATTTTTGGATAACATACAACCGTTTATTTGTATCAGTAGAATCATTTTCAACTGTCCAAAGGCAACATGTAACCAACCTGTTTACTTAGATATTTATGCATACACGTTTTGTTGTGTCCAAACCTAAAGCCTTGTACATATCTTTTTATTATTTTGTGCTCATGTTTTAGTGAATGAGTGAGTTAAAATTTATAATCAATCAGCAGTATTTCAGCCATACCTTGACTTCCACACGTTATATATTCATGATACTAGAGTTGAATTTTAAAAACCTGTCGAGAAGGGACAGTAGAAACAACTAGTATATCACTGAAAAGAATGTAAAATTGTATATATCTATATATTTGATTTCCATCAGAACAATACAATACATAAATGGCGTTTATACATATCAAAGCCCCTTAATATGCAATTAGTTTTTTGGTAAACATCGTGAGTCAGGTACTCGAATGGTGTTTAACATCTACAATGATTCAGAACTGCATTCGTTTCGTATACTTAAAAATCCGAGTCCGACCGGCCAATCCCGCTCGACGACTCTAAGCATGACCTGCTGAGATTAAAAACGCTCCATAAGCGTCTCACCAGGCATCACATTGCCAAAGACAATGTCCAACTGCTCCAATGTAGAATCAAGTGTTGCTTCAGTAGAGAAGCCAACGAGGAGATCTGCAGCAAAACCCTTGGCTGCTCTCCGCATAGCATTGGATATTGTGGTGTCAGAGTAAACATTCTCACGTCGACACCCCGATATTTCAAGGCGCCACTGACTATACTTTACATCACCCTTTCCCCCCATCCCCAGAAAATGTGGACAAACGGGGACTTGGTGCATGAAGTATCGGCATAGGCATGGTGGAACGCGGGGTTGCCCTGAGCTGACTAGGCTGGGCAGTGGAACTGTACCCAGGATATGGCAAAGGCATGGGTACATGTCTATTAGGCCAGGCCTCATAGGGTGCCCTAGTTCGTGGGTAGGGTATACTTGAACCTATTGGTGGGGTGTAACTGAATAGGGACCTGTAGGGCCAAGGTAGAGAATTAGGCAAGTCTAACCTCGGACTAGGGTCTTGTGGGTGTGTACCCAGCTGGGAAGTCCCCGTAGGTATGTGAGGTAACAAAGGGGGAATCTTATTGGGAAATGCACTAGCAGACATGATGGGCCTCGTCGTTGCTGAACAGACCTTGGCCTATTATCTTGGGGTGGAGGCACATGTGGCCGAGACAACAGATCCCCAGACGCCATATCAGCTGTAAAGGTAGTGTGAGGCTGGTGTGGATTAACGTCATCTGCTAGGCGGAAGAGTATGCTAGTACGGACAATGGGATTAAGTTGATGGATCAAATCCACATCTTCATCTACCTATGATTGAAAATCTCTGTCCAACTGGACCATAATATATGAACAATGTGGAATGTATATGAGGAACCTCCAAGAAGGCAATAAGAATACCTAACTGTTGGACTGGGTCCCAACAAGAAAGGGCTAAAAGCGATATGTAAGACCACAACCTCCTAACTATCAGGAAACAATGTGCAGACACCTACAACAACTAGGATACAAGATTGAGAAATTGATATGAGTTGTAAACCATCTAAGGGGAACAAACAACTAACCCCGAAGAGCAATGTCACAACAACTTAAGTACCGGTAACCAGACAACCACAGACAGTTATATAGTACTAAGTGAGTGAGTGAGTGAGTTATTATTTAACGTCACATCGTCAGCCATGACTATAGTACTAAGACCCCGTAGTAACAGTATATACCTTGATTGCAGTTTTTAGTGTTACAAGCCCCTGTGGTTGGAGAAACAGTTTTAATATTAAGATTAGCATTGGACAGAGAACAGCTGCAAGAAATGAACGAAGTTGGGTCGCTAAGCGTTAGGTAATCGAGCTTGTCAAACGGCACACACACCAGAAAGTGTCACAGTGTTCTTTTGTCAGTGAGTGAGTGAGTTTAGTTTTACTCCGCTTTTAGCAACATTCCAACAATATCACGGGGCGGGGCACCACAAACGGGCTTCACACACTGCACTCAGTGTTCTTTTCTTATACGATCCAGCGTTAAGTACGTTTCAAGTTAGTCCGCCTCGTTTATTCACAACGACCAGTGGCTGAAAGAAATATGTTCAATTATCGTGTCCGCTGCGTACCACCACCCACCACTACTACTACTACAACAACTACTACTACTACCAGTGGCGGATCCAGAGAGGGGGGGGGGGGGGTCGTCCCGCCCTCTCTGAAAATGACTTAAGGTCACATTGAAGATTTTTTTTTTTGCGTTGGCGGAGCCAATGGGGTTCAGGGTGTTCGAACCCCCTGAACCCCCTCCTTTCAGAATTCCTGGATCCGCCAATGACAACTACTACTACTACTGCTGCTGCTACTGGTATTAATTACGGACAAGTGAAGATGCGGGTTAGAATTGATCTTATGGAACCCATGCTTGTCGTAAGAGGCGGCAAACGGGATCGGGGGTTGGCACATGTCATCGTATCCCAATTACGTAGATCGATGCTCATGTTATTGAACACTGGATTGCCAGGTCGAGACTCGATTTTTTAAAACTTTTTTATAGCTAGAATATTGCTGAATATTTCAGCGTAACTAAACTCACCTACTACTACCACTACCACTACCACCACCACTACTACTACTACCACTTCTACAACTAGTGCTACTACGAGTACTACTACTACTACTACCGCTACTGCAATACGACTTGGTTGATTGCAAAGCGATTCAACTAGAAAACAAGTTAAATATGCTGACTACTACTGCTACCGCGAAGACTACGAAAGAGCCTCTGGCGTGGTTTCGATTTACAGAATCATCTGCTCCAGTTGAATATGTAGCATAAATCATTATCTGTTTATTATGTGACTGAATGGACGCATACGCAGATACGGTTATGCTTCGTTTCCAACAGCATCGGTCTTTCGTTAGCTCCAAAGGTTCGAAAATGAATAATGAAATCAACCTCTTTTCATTAAAGTACATCCTTTCTTTGCGTGATAGAGACCCACCTCTTTTAAAGACGACGACTTTCGTTTCATCGAAGTTAACGTTAAGACGATATTCAACACACAATCTTACCAACGCATCAACACGCCTCTAAATCCCGCCAGTTTATATAGACTGCTGCTACTACTACCTCTACCACTACCGCCTTTACAGTGATAACCGATTTCCTATCGAAACAAACGTCATAGAATACGCAATGCCGTATAGAAAGTGCTCAGATGTACCATGTGTTACATTTGGGCATACACTGTCTCAGAGAGGTAGATTCTCGAACTTGTTTTGCTCGAGTCCGGGATTCGAACCCACGCTCTCAGTGTGAGGCACCTTATCGCCAGCATATATGCCTTCGAGCCAACATCTACAAGCATATTAGCCTAGTTCACATACTTGTGTATCCCAAGAGGAAGTTTAAATAGCACGGTAAGGAATATTTCAACACATTTCGCGCTATGGTGCACCTTATGAATTGAACTTCGATTGTAAAGTATGTCGAACGTCCCTGCATATTTTATTACATGCACACTTGGGCAGTATTTAGCACACGTATAAATTGGAGGGAGGGGGGGAGTTTAGTTTTCGCCGCACTCAGCAATATTCCAGCTATATGGCGTCGGTCTGTAAATAATAGAGTCTGGACCAGACAATCCAGTGATGGTGATGGTTATGATGAAGGTGGGTGTTTGTGTGGTACGTGGTGGACATGATAATTGTACATATTTCTTTCAGCCACTGGTTTCGCTGTTATGAGTGAACGAAGCAGACTAACTTGACATGTACTAAACGCAGGATCGTATTTTCACAAAAGAACAAGGCGACACATTCTGATGTACATGTGTATAACCACTTGACTAAAGTACTGTCGAAAATGCTAGAAAAATGCTTTTTAGCCTTAATACTTTGATAAAGGTGATAAATGTACTATGTTGCCAATATATCAACTCGCCTATAGTGTACCTAATTTTTATTTCAATCGATTTAACATTCCTATGCATTTAAAGGGCAGTTTACAGGAGAGAATATGGTTCAACAACAGAAATCTGAAATAGTCTTTACATTTATGCTAATAATACTGGTGGAGTAAAAATATGAATCAACGTTTTTCTTCAAATAAATGTTGAATGTTTGTGTTACTTTACTTAATTATCGCTTCTTTATTGAAGAAATATTAATATAAATGTTAAGTCTTGATTATGCGCTTAGAGCATGTCCCTGGGTGATGTGGATGAGGCGCTTTAAAAGTACTCTTATTATTATTATTATTAAGTAAGTTTCCCGTCATGCATGCACATCTTTATCACAGCGTCCACTATGGCCAACGATTTGCAGTCAATTGTTGCAAAGGTTTATAAGTTTTTTTGTGATTGAAAAAGACAGAGGTAAACCTTTCATTAGTTTAGAAAGCGTTTATTACAGAACTTGTAGAGCTGTTGGTATGTCTTACCAACAAATTTACAATATTGTAAACAAATCAGACAAGAAAGGGACCGTTCTCAAAAGCAAAACCGGGACGTAAAACCATCCTCGGCAACTTTGACAAGAGAGTACTTAGACAGGCGGTCTACAAAATTTATGAGAAGAATATATTCTAAAGAAGCTACAACAGTGACTCCGTTAAATCTTTGGCCAATGTTCACAACTAGATTAAACTGACCGAATTACATCCATATTTGTGCAATGAAATATACTGTGGACATGCAAAACATTTATTAAAAGGTTGCACATTTCTACAATCAATCGATAAGATAACACAAGTGACAGGATTCTTTCCAATGTACAGTAATTCGTATGTTTATTTCAAAACAAACACATATACACAAATGACCCCTTACATAACCAATACCTATACTACACGTACACATATTCAACATTTTGAAGAAAACATCTGTTGAGATGACCCTTCCCCCGAGCGTGTGCTCAGGTGTCAATTTCACCTGTCGATACAGTACATGCTGATGACGTAACACAGGCAGTTAATGTTTGTATCAAATAACGTCCCGCTACCCGTTATTATTTGGTATTTTCATCAGTAAAAACACATTTTAGGGCATGTCTCAAAATTTAGTCCCTCGGTCTACAGTAGGTAGATGTTTCTTAAAGTGATATTTGTTATTTAAGGAACTGTAATACCTTTGAATTTTAAATACAAGTCAAAAAGCATTTTTCTAGCATTTCCGACAGTACTTTAGCTCGATTACGAAACGCTAAGCGACCCGCCTACCCACATTCCGTCCGGCAGTTCTCTCTACAATGCTAATCTCACTGTCATAACCTCACACCTAACACTCCTACCTCACACTTATATCTTAGTAAAGTCTTGTATTCATTTGATACATATCTCCGTAACCTCCACTACTGGTTTTGAGCTCATCAACCTCTGAAAATTAGTTTTTAAAAAGTATAAATTAAAACACACACTGATATACCCAGAAAGTTATGACAAATCATGAAAAGCATTGCTCGCCTGTTAACACTGACTGTACCCTCAGGGTGTAGATTTTGAAACATGGGACCGATTCATGCATGATCATGTACAAATACAATATTTAGTGATGCATTATGTGTGCAATTTCTTGTCGAAGTTGATTTCCATTGTCTGGGAATGCTTGAGTAACTCACGTCCAGCTGGGACGATGTTGCATAACACAGTCCGATGGGCCTGGGGTTCGGAGACGTCTCACAGTGCTCCATTGTTTCAGACGCTTGTGATTTGAGTCCAGGCTTGAACTTCACGAGGCTGTACGACAGCACATAGCCTCAGCTGATTCGCACGTGCTTGTTGGGTTCAAGGGCGCGACTATTTGTTTTTCGCGGTGGGGAGAGGTCCTATATAGTAAGGCCTCTGCTTAATGGAATATAAGTGTCCCTTACTCTTGCAGACGGTATGTATCGAAACACTTAATAATTCATTTCTTTTCTTTTGGCAAAACGTAACTCAGCTTTTACATATGTAGGTAGCAAATGCTCATCTCAAACCACAATCTAGTATATCTAGCTCCCCTCCTTTGAAATGGTTTCTCCGTGATGTCGCACTATAAAACAAGGATACCTTCAGACATCTGTCACGTTTGTCGATTTATCGCATCGTTCCCTAGTTATCAGCATCCTTACTTCGTTATCATCATCACTACTTCGTTACTTCCATACTTTGTTACTTCGTTACCACGTTATCACAATCGTTCCACTCGCTCTTATCAGCGGTTATCATGTTCCGTTTCTTTGGAAGACTGACAGCCCAGGGAGCCCAGACCACCCAGTCTACCCAAGGACCCCAGGCGACCCCGACGACACAGCCCGGGACCCAGGGATCGGCATCAAGGATGACATCGACCTCTTCGACATCATCAACGCCGTTTGCCACACCGATGGCAACAGCACCCGTTCCCACAGCTGCACGTGGAGGTGCAAGAGCAATAAATGTGAGTAAACAAAATATTTGTTAATGTTTCTGCATCAACTTGTTCTACCATATGATTACAGGTTATTTACACCCTTACCGTCTTATTCCTATGTAGCATGTGATTCAACATGGTTGTGTGCCTTACAAAAGGTAGTGGGTGAGTGAGAAAGCACTGACAAGTCAGCATGTATGATCGTGTGTAACCGACGATAGATCAGTTTATTAGGCGGACACTTGAACCACCAGTCTACGCTGACGCCTTTCACGGGTTGTGTGACAAATGTGCAGACATGGCGGTGACGTCAGTCACTGTACTGTCTTGTCAAGACTCATTTGGAGGCAGGTGTCATGTGGCTGAGGTATTGCTAGTTGCCCAGTTCATCTATAAACAAAGCGGAGTAATTCAGTAATCGTTTACATGGACACGCACTTGAATATAGATATCAAAATAAATAAAGACAGTAGGGTCACCCATCTTACATTTGTTGTTACAGCTTGTGGACGCCCGGCTCCAGCAACTGGAAGAGGAGCTCAGAAAGTCTCAGGAGGATCTCAGGAGGAGAACCGGCAGCTGAAGCAGGAACTCAGCCGACTGAAAGCAAACGTAAGCCAAACAAGTTAATGTGAACAGTATAACAGTGAAGTCGTGCATACGGCATTAGCGATATGTCTTCTCTATTCATGATAAGGTAATCGATTACAAGCCTGCTTGAAATACCTTTGCGCTATTAATGTAACTTAACAAGGTGACCACACCTAATTTTGTGACCACTTCTTGTAAGTTTTTCCTGATTACTTTATCTGTGATTTGTGGATACATCCATCTGGGCCACCTAGCATTTCCAACCTAATACGCCAAACAATATACAAGAGATAAAAGTGCAGTGTTTTCATGTGTGTATGTGTATGTGCATGAGTGAAAATGTAATATCTGTTTTGTATCCTTTTGGTTTTACAACAGTCGGCAAACACGACATCAGCAGCAGCGACATCGACGTCTTTCAGCGTAGCCACTCAGACAGTGCCAATTGTAAGTATGATTCAGTTATTGAACCTCGTGCATTGTTTTTTAGACCCTGTACACTTTATTGCCCGTATATTTAGTGTGTTTTATGAGTGACAGTTCATAATCTTGGTTTTTGAGAGAGGCGGTACGGGCGGAACTCTTACCGATTCCTTGTTATTATGATTATGACTGATAAACAAGCAGTGTTGCGCAGTGGAAATAAAACGATTGTCCAGAGCTATGCAATGTAACTGAAAATCGAATCAACTAAAGTTTTTAACTTCCCTTTTATCCTCAACAAGGAACTAAACGTGACAACTAATATAAGTGAGAAAACCATGTATGATTTACAAGAACTATACTCGATTCTCTTAAGTGATTCTAAATGAACTTTGAAATGAAATGACCCGCTAAATGCCGCTAATTGCCTAACCTTTAAACATACTAATGCAAGTTCAATAATCTAACGCCACAATAGCCAATTGAACCTACACATCTAACAACAAAGTTATTCGTAGTCTAAATACCTAAACACAAATAGCAACGAATGGCAGAAAGGAGCGAATGCCCGGTGTATCGCTGATCACCGTCTTATATTTGCAAAACCTATTCGTTTTTCACGTGCACTCATCTCCAGGTGTGTTCAGGCGATACGTCTAGTATGCACTGAGTGCGTTTGAGCGAGCAGTTTTAGTGATAAAACCAAAATGCCTTCAGAACAAGCAGCTTTATACCAGATAATATGTACACTTTTTTATATATTGTTAAATGTTAAAATGTGACCTGAATGTTTCCCTTCTAAAATAAATTACAAACATCTTACAGGAAAACATTCACTTAAATCACCTAGAATTTCACCCTAATTGGATGTACAAATAGAAGTAGTGCAGTCTTAGTGTGTAAATGTTATCGAATACACTCTATGAAAACTCTTTTATCCCTGCAGGTTTTCCTTCCGTATCCGGCATCGTCTTTGGCATCGACCTCCGCCTCGACCTCGACCTCTGCTTCCGCCTCCGCTTCTGCATCAGCATCTGTAGCGACAGTCACGCTGGCGACATTGGCGACGATGCCAACTGTGAGTAACCAAAATTTCAAGAACAGTTAAACTCGCTTTTACCATGTTAAACTGACGTTTCTGAATGACCTTAAACCCTGCAAGAACATTATTTTGTTATCTCCTTCTTCCGTTGATCTTGATTCCCTCATTCTGTTTAAACAGCATTTTCAACATCTGTGCAGAACAGTATTGTCAACATGCTACCTCATGTGGATGTTGGGTTGGAACTTATCTCTGGTATTAGGTACTCTCCTCCGTCCAGCTCAAACACTTGGTAGATTGAGTATCATGAACACCGATCATATGGACCATTGATCACATTCAGTTTTGTCTGTCTTATCCATATGGCATTATTTTCAAACTATTTTATATCTTCAGTTGCTCACCTGTGACGATTAGAATTCAATAACCTATACTTGCCATAAGATACCACTAACTGGATTGGGTGGAGAGACTCGCTTACTTGCTTCACACTTATCGTATCCCAGTTGCATAATTCGATGCTCATGCTATTGATCACTGAATGCTTTTGTACCAACTCAGTTAATTACAGACCGCCACCATATAGCTGGAATATTGCTGAGTGCGGCGTTAAACACAAACCAGCCAAACTATAGTTCCTATCGATCTATAGGCTGATTTTATATTGATGCCTGACTCAGCTTTTAAACTGATCTCATACTAGTTTTAATGACTGTCATCATGTAGGTATACTGTCCTTTGCTGAAAGCATTTTAAAAAGTGCATATGTATGTATGAGTCAGGACAAGTATAAAAATAATGTAACTTTATCATAATAAATACACATATATTCTCAGTATATAATTATCGTCAAGATAATGGCTGGACAATGTGACGTAAAATTTTAACGCAAACTATGTTACTATGCTATTGTTTTCAATGGACATTATTTCAGACTCAGGCACTCCTGAACCATCAGAGAGACGACAGGTACAGACAGAGGACTCAGGCCACACAACAACGGCAACAGCACCAACAACGCCAGAGAGCGCAAAGAGCGGAGGAACAGCGACGGGCTCGTCAGGTTCAGCAGAGCCAACAACTTCAGCAGCAGCAGCAGCAGCAACAGCCCTACCAGGATCTCCTTCGTCGGTTTGACGAAGCACAGAGAACTTCAGTGCGATTTTACTTTCATCTGTTCCCAATCTAAATGTCATACTGCGACAGATTTCTGAAATAAATAAAAAATTACTTGTATTTCGCCATACACCTGTCATAAATTTCAAATGCACTGTTAATACAATATTGTGTAACAGTACGTTCTATTGCTTCTTCTTTATTGACGAAACACAGCTAACCCACAACTTAAAAGCACCGAAATTCCTTGTACCAGGTCGAATCCCTTGCTCACATAAAAAGCCCCTATGATCATGAGTTTTGTCCCAAGTATTTTTCTGAATTTATCTGCCCCAAAACCCATCCTCCTGGTTTTTAAACGTAGCTTCTAACATCTGAGACTTGCACTAATTGTACACCCAAACTGATTCAGCACAAGAACTTCTAGGTTTTACATCGTTCTATTTGTCCTGGTACGTGGGACTTTGTAGCCCTAAGCAACAGTAACAGGCAAAGTATTGTTTTCTTTATTGCAGAGCAGAGGCCGTATTCGGAGACCTGCTGGTGTACTCCAGATGACGATGGGTGGAGGACTGACGAGTAAGTTGACTGCAAAGTGTTCATTCAGACCAACCTGATTTCACGCTGTTTGTGCTACTTCCCCGTCCATAAGGGCGTCACACTGAAGACCTGGGATGGTTCCCCACCTGGGTACAATGTGGAAAGCCCATTTCTGGTGTCACCCGCAGTGAAATTGATGTGATATTGCTGAAACTGTACTCATTCACTCCCCGTCTATGTTCACAGGGTTATTTCCATATTTGTGTGTGAGTTATTTCCTTTCCTGCTTTTCTTAGAACAATGTTCACCACTGGTACAGGATCAGACATGCACTACTGCGCCAACACGTTGTTCTGTTGACTTGGCAAATACCTTTGTGTTTTAAGCACGAATGTATTTTAAAACCGTTCAAAGCGGTGAACAAAGTCATTCTCTGGACATCCATTGTACAGGTTTTCTCAGAATCAACAACACCAATACATAAAATTGTTTAACTTGAATTGTACTGCATGAATGACAATTTCATGTTATAACATCAAAAGGAAATAAACTGTTTTATGTCCTTTTTTCAAAGTAGCTTTTAGTCTGTTGGCGACATACAACTCAGTATTTTTTTACCTCTCAATGGATTTCTACAGAATTTGAAAATATCTCAAGCAATAAACTATGAATATGAGTCTCATGGCATAATTCTTCAAAGAGATTGTCTCAGCTGTGTTGACAATAACAATCTACACTTTTGTTTATACATCTGTAGATCTTTCCATGCTCATAATTTTCATTACCTGATGTTACATATTCACTACAGTCTTTCCACTTCAGATGTTGTTACCACAGAACAATCAACTTTCATACGACAACGACGGCAGCAACAACAACTACAGCGACAACAACGACGCCGCCGACGTTAGGCCATAAGACCGCCATCTATTGACCATGATGTGTCCTGCCTCCATTTGCCAGCTCCAGTTGCCTTCCAGTCGCCAGTCAACAAGCCAGCAATAAGTCCTTCTCCAACGTTAATCACCATTTCAACCTTGTCTCACCTCTCCTCATACAGTAAGTAAACTGTTAAACATGAATCATACGACAGGAATTCTCATGGATTAAGATGTTGTGCCTTCAATCGTCATTATACTTTTGCTTATCTTACCTGAACAGCTCTTGACTTGGTCTTATGACCATTCCGTATGCGTGTACGATCAGTGACACATGCTAACTGCTCATGTTTGTATGCAAATTTAAATTACATGTATATAAATAATTATTAAAATATTGCTTCTTCAGGTGTGGTGACAGTCACGGCTACATTCTCGAACACCCTTGCCAACTACACCGCTTCATGTTTAGGAGTTAATACCTTCATTTAGTCCATATTCAACTCTCTGCATACACTTTTTCCTCCATCTTCACATGTAGGTATGAACTCAGTCTGTTTTGTATGTACACCTGGCACGATCGTCCACATACAAATCCTTCATGGATGTCTTGTGAGACCCTACTGATGACTCGGCAGCTTTGAGGTGTTGAGGGGTCTCTCATGTTTCATGGCTCACATTCCTACCTGAAATACCCGCTAACACCTTCCAGCTGAACGATGATTCGGTTGTATTCTCAAGCATCTTCTGGGTCGCTTGTATTTGGTGAACGGCCTTTGGCATATAATCGTTTCAAAGCGTTTTGCAGGAAGAGATCGTTCTAGTGTCTATAAACATATCAAATTACCTTTGACTGAACAATCACTATATATGAAGGGTTTTATATTATCATGCATAATGAGTTGAAGACTTTTCCTAATCATGAGCGGTACTACGGCATGGTGTTGGCATCTACCACGAAGATGGATATATGAACGGAATGAGCTAATAAGGTTAGTATAACAACTGCACTTAGGTATGGAAATGCTAGAAAATATAACACTCCCTTCACCTTCCACGCTTCAGTCTGTGGTCATTGTCTGAAGGATAAGCTCCAGTAGACTATACGTTTACCCAATGACTGCTACGGCAATCTAGAAATATCACTAATTAACCTACAACCTTAAACAATAGTTGTTGAATTACCCCAATTGTCAGAATCTATTACCCATAGGAATGTGTCCATTATCACTGAAAAATGAGCTTTCATGCAGATATTGTCGGTATGCATTACTTTGCTCATCAAGACATCACACGTTATAGCAGTTGCTACAATGTCATTCGGTTCTAATCTCTAAAATCTCTCATTGACATTATATTTAGAACTTGTTGTGCATCTCTAATAATCGACCATCTCTCTCCAACAGGCTTTTCCTCCCAGATCAAATCTCAAGGAATGGATTGACCCAATGGCCATGCTGCTCTCCCCTGTCGATGAAGACAATACAACAATCATTATAATCATCAGTACGATAGTTAACATATGAATGCATGGATGGATGTCTTTATTTCCTCCAGATAGGTCCAAAGATCATGAAAACATAATGCGTATATAAATATATAATTAACAGAACACTCAACATACACTCACACATATATATATGTACATACATTGAATATGGGAACGTTTCCCCAAATATATACAGGTTATTTACAGTCGGGTATTGGTTAGATTATTACCACAGGTGATTGAGGATATCTTTTAGCTTATGCAAATACTTTTAGAATTCTATAATAGTAAAATGCCATGTTATGTCATCAATATTGTTATTGGCCCCAAGGAATAATGCCAGCATGTCATGCTCTTCCATCATCTCTATATTGAGAGTTGAGAAAAATATATCTCTCGCTGAAGGTAGATATCCACAGTTTAGGATAACGTGGTGATAGTAATCATTAGCAAAGATATTACACTTTTTACATTCTTTTGATAGTTTGCTTCCGGATCCAATCCTTATTACATATTGTAATTCTTCTCTCAGTTCTAGATGTATAAATGCCATGCTCTATAACACACGAGGTGAAAGTGCTGTATGGATTTTCGAGTATTGAGACAAGTCAGCTCTGCATGATAGAATATATTTCCATACTTCTTCCTCGTGGTTACTTATTTCATTTACTACAATCTTTCTCCACTTATGTTTCGCCGGGAATTCTCCTGTGCAGATGTAGTGAAATACATAATAAAGTAAGTTATATTTCTTAGCTGTTGAAAGCAGTGCTCCATATAAACTAAGTTCTTGGTGTGAGAATAATAAAGTGAGGTAGATGCCCTGTTAACTTATATATTGCCAGTAAACTTTATTTCTAGTTCAACGTACGCTTGGGTTAAATGGGACACCAACCCTATTGTCAGTGGCCCATAACACAATCACGACATAGCAACCCTATTGTTTGTCAAGA